AGGATGCCAAAGCTCGAATTACGGCTTCCAGTGCTACCTATAAGATAGAGCATACCGAGGATGATTTTGCAGCTAGTGTCGAATTCGAAAGTTTCCACTACCAAGCCACAGTTCCTATCTCTGACACAGCTCTACTTGCAGGCTTCTTCATGATTTGGTTGAAGCGGTGCGTAGTACCGTCAAGACCGATAGAGGCAATATTAGCTGAGGTAGTGTACCCAGCTGTTTTGCTAGCGCATGGGAGACCTGTGAGCCTCCTTACTGCTATGGTTGGCTGTATTCAGAACGGCCTGAGGGTGTTGACTTCAGAACTCCTCAGTGCTTCGAGAGTCAAAGCCGCTAAGAAGAAAGCTGGAAAAGCTCCTCAACCACGTGTACCAGTGCCATACACATATTTAATGGCCTGGTTTGTGTTGCATTGCCCTTCATTAATGACGGGAGTGCATGAAGGGGATGATGCTTATACTCCCTTCGTACAAAGATTAGAGTCGGCCACGTGGACTAGTTCTTATATAGTCAGGGCTCGACAGTTTCTATCCCGGGAAGATAATTACCGGGTTTTCTGTTGTGCTCCTAACTTTGACGGGGCTGATGTTGAGGATGCTCGCTTCATGGATTTACTTTTTGAAGGCTCGTCTTCTTTGGAGGAGGGTACATTCAGCTGGCTTCTTATGATCAGGTTGGGCTACCTGGTCTACCGGTTGCGGGAGAAGTGCACAATTGAGCCTTACATGCCTTCTCGGTTCGCCAGACAGTTCGGATACGACCAACTCTATGTTGGCAATCCTAACCCGGCGTTAGCTCAGATTGGGAATTTATACGAAGGAGCTCGCGCATGGTACTTTTTCTCCGCCGGGGGAACCCATGCGCAATTCACTTTACCCAACTCACCACCCGGCTGCTCTACTGTTATGGATTTCCGCCAGTGGTTTGTTGAAGCTTCTAAGATTCCGAAATATGACGTTTATACTTCATGTATAAACGAGATTCGGGAATTGTATCGTTCACGGAGCGGTTCTGCGAGTACTCGTCTACCAGGGATGGAAGAATACCTATCTTGTGAACAGGAAGCGACCGGAGCCGTTGAAGCTCCTAAAGACTTGTCCACCGTAGAACCTTCTGAAGAAGAGGTTCCTACGGGAATTGAAGAGGGAAAGCCAATTGATGATTCTCCTGAAGAAAAGACCACTGAGGAGATTCCTGCAGAAGAGCCCGTTCCTACACCTCGTTCTTTAAGATCGGGTAAGGAAGCTCTTTCTGCTGCTGAGCAAGGTGAGTATGACAGGAGAATCCGTAAGCGGATACCTGTCATGGCCAAGAATTCCAAGAGGGCCAAAATAATGGGGGATGCGATGAAGTCTGCGCTCGTTGAGCGTTCTACTGACGGAGAGGACGAAATGCCCCAATCGATCCCCTCAGTTCCTGAAGACGATGGGGCTGAAGAGGGTCCTTCTTCTGAAGTTGCTCCAACACGTGTTCAGGATGATCATACGGATCCAATCTATCCAACTCTTCCTCCTCCACGCTCAGGAGCTCTGAAGAAATCAGTTGATGAACTGGAACGTTGGATGGAAACGATTATTGGTATGATCAGTGTTGAGGGGGCTTCTCTTGAAGACTGTAAATCCATCTTGAGCCAATGTTTGGACGACATCAAGGCCAAAGGGGATGCATCCTGGACTGAGCACTGCCAGGGTGGGATCACTCTTTTGATGGCAGAATTGACAGCTTTCAGGGAGTTACAGCGCGCCAATTTAGATTCTGAAGTGGAGCCGGCTCTTTCCTTGGCGATAATCTCGAGAGCGCATCACCCAGGGAATCTTCGCAAGGAACTATCTGATAAAATAGCCCGTATATCAACTTTAAGGAAGCGACACTCTAAAGCATATGCTAAAATCAAACGTGTTGCTTCTGATATTCGTGATATTGAAGAGACTATCGCTCGATTAGAGGCCGAGTTGGACCAGAAGAAAGCTCAATTGGCCCACTACGAGGATGTCAGAAAAGAGCTTGAGCATAAAAGTGGCCAAATTTATACGAAATTTTGCCGTACACTCCACGCAGCTGAGCAGACTCGTAAGGACATTGTTGCTACTCTTCCTATTGAAGCAGAACTCAGAAAGGAGATCGAGGAACAAGTTCGAGCAGCTCACCGGGAGAAACTCTCTGCTTTCAAGTCTAGGCTAAAAACCCTCAAGTTAATGAAGCCTGATGTTTAGCTCTTGACCTGTTTTTGATTAAGGAATTTTGTATCTTTTTCATTTTGTGTTTGGATTAACCACATCGAATGAAAATGATATCACTTTTGCTCTTTATCGTCTCTTTTTATTGAAATCTGGTTCAAGACAATAGAAAATAATGCAAATGTTATCGAAATTCCCTTTATCATTTATTCAGAATAATTCCATCAAATTACAATCGTCAGAGGTGTAGTGTTAACATGACGAAATACAAGATAGAATTACACTATGAATAGGCAACCCCCAGCCTGATTTGGTTGGGGTTTAGGGGGCTACATGATTTACGGGAAGTATCTCTTGAGAAACTTCCCATTAATTGGCATCATGAGCCTGTCTCCTTCTTGATTGATGAGGCGGTATGCTCCGTTCGAATAGACTGATTCTATTACGAAGGGCCCTTCCCATTTAGGATTGAACTTCCCTTTGGTTTTGTGTGTCATCACCATGGGTCGTCTGTTGGCCAACACTAGATCGCCTTTCTTGAAGATCCGTTCCTTAACCTTTTTGTTGTAGGCTTTGGAAATACGGGCTTGATACAACTCTATTTGTTGTTGAGCTTGAAGTCGCTTGTCGTCTAAGGCTTCAAGTTCTTGCAGACGTCGTTGATGCTTTTCTTCTTCTGTTAGTCCAGTTGTGATAGCGACTCTCAGAGAAGGAATCTGAATTTCCAATGGTAGTACCGCCTCGCAGCCATATACCAAAGAGAATGGCGTAGCTCTTGTGGAGGTCCTTACTGTAGTACGGTAAGCCCAAAGACATTCACCCAGTCTTTCATCCCAATCGCGCCGGCTTTTAGAAACAAACTTTTTGAGAAGCTTCACTATGGTTTTATTGAAGGCTTCTGCAAGACCATTTGCTGGCGGATAATAAGCCGTAGATGCAACACTTTGGATTCTGAATCTGTCACAGAATCTCTGGAACCCAAAGCTGACGAATTGTGTCCCGTTGTCGTGAACTATTCGCCTCGGGACTCCAAAACGGTAGACGACGTGATGTTTGATAAACTTGATCACGTTTGAAGTCTTGACTTCTTTCAACGGGATTGCCTCCGCCCATTTGGAGAAATAATCGGTCACGGCTAGAATGAACCGGTGTCCCTTGGATGTCGGAGGGGAAATCGGTCCGACGATATCCATACCCCACATTTCGAATGGCCAAGTCGCTGATGTGGGGTGTAAATTTCCTGGCGCCTGGTGGATGAAATCCCCATGAATTTGGCACGCGTGACAACGTTTAGCATAGTCAACCGCGTCTGAAAACATCTTCGGCCAATAATAGCCGATGCGTCGGAGGCGATCTCCTAACTTAGCTCCAGGCTGATGAGCTCCGCACATTCCGCCGTGAGCTTCCTTGAGGGCCTCTTTTGCTTCTTTCCGGGAGAGACATCGAAGCAAAACTCCATCATGCGATTTACGATACAGGACTTGAGAGACTGCGTCGTAATAGAATCGGAGGGCCTTTCGTTTGATAGAGGCCGCTTCCTTAGGATCATCGGGTAGAATTCCATATACGGCATAGTCGATGTACGGGAATCGCCAATCCCTGGATTCAAACTCCATAGAAGTTGTACAGACTTCTTCTGACGGTGTCTCGTCTAGGTTTTCTTCTGTAGGAATTTTAGAAAAATATAATTTCCGTCCCGCGACTGGAATCGTTGTTTCAGTCTTCGGTGGCAACGCTAATGAGGTTGCCAAGGAGGCTAGAGCATCTGCGTAAGCATTCTGAGCTCGTGGCACGTATTCGATAAAGAAGCCCTCGAACTTTTGAGCCTGCTCTAGCACTGCAAAGTAATACGGGATCAAATCCTCATGACGTGCTTCATATTCTCCTCGAACTTGATTAACGATGAGCTGAGAGTCACCGTAAGCTTCAAGATGCTGAATACCAAGTTCTTCAGCAAATTGCATGCCTAATAGCAGAGCGTTATACTCGGCTACGTTGTTGGTGCAAGGTTCGATTAAGGAAAATCCCCTTGGGATTACATGGCCGTTTGGAGAGATTAGCACTACTCCTACTCCCGCGGTGATTGCTCCATGAGGATTTGCTCTGGATGCACCGTCGAAGAATAACTTCCACACTTGCGTAGCTTCTTGGGTAGCGCAAGCTTCAGCAACCTCGTCAGGTAATTCCTCATACAATTTAGACGTACAACTTTTACGTGGTTCGGCAAATAGCCTACGTCCACGGGGCAAGGAGGGGGAGATCTACTATTAGAGGGAGAGATACAACTAGGGTTTACAATCTCACAATCTAAACCCTCTCAAACAAACTCTCAAATCCCTCTTACAAAATCTCTCTCAAAGGGGTACACAAATCAAAGAACAATAAACAAAGGACTTTGCTTTCAAAATTAGCCGCTGCCTTTTCTCCTCGGTTTGCACAAAACAGCCGCTCAAAATCAGCCCCCAACTTTTGCACGCCCTCTGCTTCCGAACTCCTGAAGCCGCAAAAATCACGTCCTTGCTCTAAGCCGCACAAAACCCTAGGGAAGGGTTTTATACAAGACTTTCGGGTGGGCTTTGATGTTCACGCGTGGGCCAAAGGATTTTGTCCGCTGTTTTTTCCGCTGGCTCTCTGCATTCACGTGGTAGCCGTGGCCCCCACATCACAATTATTATTATTTTAAAAATTGCTTTTGCCTTCGGTTCAGGCTCTGTATTATGCTCTTCGAATGGATTATATGACAGTAGCAAAACTTCAGACTAAGCTAGATGGAGAGGCTAAACAGAATACTGTTCGAAAATTGATCGACAAGATAGCTCAGGATGGATACCTGAAAAGCTCAGGCAGCAAGAGATTGGGTATTCATCCTAACTATGAAACCTGATTTTAGGAGATCATAATTTATTAACTAATCAATACCTGCTTGTGGAATTATTTTATGAAGTTAATATATTTAAGCATCACACTTTCTTTAGCTACAGTAGAACGATATTGTGAGGCATAGATAGCCTTGACCTGAAAAGCTCAGGCAGCAAGAGATTGGACGTTAATCCTAACTATGAAGCCTTAATTTAGGCGATCATAATTTATTAACTAATCAATACCTGCTAGCAGAATTATTTCACAAAGCTAATATATTTAAGCATCATACTTTCTTTAGCTACAAGAGAACAATATTATGAGGCATAGGTAGCTTTGACCTAACCCCTAGAGAGTTCAATGTTAACATCCTTTATTTGCCCATTTCTTGTAAGATTACTTAAGTTTCATGCAATTTCTTTGTATAACAGTTCTAGAAGTTGGTAAGAGTTAAAACAATATTTCCAATTAGTCTTGAATCTTGATTTATCAATTGTTAATGTTCTTTGCTTTAAATGAATCTTCATCACATTTTCCTAAAATTTTCCTGAAATTTTCCTGAAATTAGAGATCACTTGCTTTAAATGAATCTTCATCACATTTTCCTAAAATTTTCCTGAAATTTTCCTGAAATTAGAGATCACTTGATATGGAAATCGGGTGATCACACGGCCACTTCAATCTACTGATTGTGGGAATATACAAATTGTTTTCAGAAAAATATATCACTAGGGATCTAAGGCACCTTAATATTTATGAGTAACTTTGATTTACTGCAGGTAGGCGTGTTGTTCACTCTGAATCCACCAACATAAAGCTCATTGAAGTCAAAAAGATTATAGAGGGCCAACCTATGGTGAATTCACTACCATCTTATGCTTCTTACCTCACTGCATGACTGAGATTGTTTTTTAGTATGATAAAGCATTAAATATCATTTATATCCTTCATTCATCCACTTCAAGCAGGAAATAGATACCAAAGGAAATAGATATCATTTATATCCTTCATTTATATCCTGCATGATCTTTGCTATGATTTTGCTTGAAAATCTTGCTTCTGTTTTAAACTGTATAGAAGACTGCTTAATCAAAGAACTGATATCTCTAACATCTCTAACAGGAAATAATCAAAGAACTGATGGAAAGGTTACCACACATGAAAGAGCTTATGGATATATATTGTGGCCCTGATAGAGTGACTGCAAAGCAACAAATGCAGGAGTTAGACAGAGTCGCAAAAACTCTACCAGAGAATATACCTTCATCTGTGAAGAGGTTCACTGATCGTGTCGTTCTTTCACTTCAAGTTTTCTTTTTTTTTTCAACTTAGTTTAGTTTCCTGTAAATCTTATAATGTGTCATTCTCTGAAATGGAAAACACTGAATATGGCAAAATGGAATATTTAAACAGGCCTTTGAGTGTTGACTTGGAAATGGAAATGAATGTAATTATTTTGCAATGGGAGCAAATTCTTTGTTTATCATAATATGCAACTTGTTTGTAGTATAATTTGATGTTTGGTTTCTTTGTTGATGTGAATGGAAGTAAATTTTTTGTGGATGTTCAGGTTCAGTGTAGGCTTGTAGTTGACAGAAAAGATATTATTTTTGGCGATGCAAATTAGTGTCGATAAAATTATACTTTTTACTGTTGCCAAAAATTATACTTTTGCCGACGCTATCTTGCGTAGGCAAAAGTATAGCTTTTAGCGACGCTAGCTTTGCATTGCTAAAAGCTGCACTTTTGCCGACGCTATATTGCGTCGGTAAAAGTATAGCTTTAAGCGACGTTATTTTGCGTCGCCAAAAGTATAGCTTTTAGCGACGCAGAGTGAAGCGTCGCTAAAAGCTATACTTTTGGCGACGCAAGATAGCGTCGCTAAAAGCTATACTTTTGCCGACGTATAGCTTTTGCCGACGCTGCATGCGTCGCCAAAAGTATACTTTTGCCGACGCAAAATATTATGCGTCGCTAAAAGATATACTTTTTCCGACGCATGACGCGTCACCAAAAGTGTACTTTTGGCGACGCAGTGTATATGCGTCGCTAAATACTTTTCTTAACGTACTTTTGGAGACGCGTTAGCGACGCTGTATTTTGCGTCAGAAAAGATTTTTCCCGACGTTTTTTAAACTTTTACCAACGTTTTTGTTTCGTCGGCAATGTTGTATTTTGTTGTAGTGAATTAATCCCATATTGTTGAAGAGTTTTTATGAACAGTTAGTCAAATAAGGATTTGATTGTTATATTAAAATTATTAATTTAATTAATAATTGGTTCTCGATATGGGACCCAATTAGTCTCACTAATGTCATTAGAAGATGTAGGCATGCAATACAATTCTATTTCTATCCTTAATTATTATGGATAAATTTTTTGAATAATTATATTCTATCTTTAATTGTTATGAATAGAGTTTTGAACAATTTTGAATTTCTTAAAATTAAAATCTCTAAGGCTAGCTAGTCTAATCCTATATATAGGGTTCATGTGCAATTTTATAAAGACACAAAAAACCATATGAAGATAATATAAAGAAATAAAAATTTGAGAACTTATCTCTCAGTATTGCTTCTCTTTAGTGATAGGTGGATTTTAATTGGAGGCTTTTTCTCTTGAGGAAGCTATTTTGGATTGATTTTGAAACAGAGTATTGAAGAAATTTGAAAAACGTTTTAGGTATTCTTTTAATTTTGATTAAGTTTGATTAATAGTTATGATATGCATATTTCATCTTATTGTATGTCATCTTTCTAACACTTACATTACGATAGCAAAACTCTCGCCTGTTGTCTCCATGTGACACTGGGGTTGCCATGGTTCAGTTGAAAAACTAGTCTGTTGCCGATGTGTAAGGGAAAAGCTCTAAAGCCGGCTTTTCTTCCTCTTATAGAAAAACCTTGGCGACAGCCCTAGCAACCTTAGAGCGTCAGTTCAGCTCATGGTCCACCTGCTCTTGGTCCTTCTTAAGCAAGTCTAACTTACTTGCCCTTCGAGCGGCGTAGAGCTCGGCTGACTCACGAGTAGTCCTCTAAGGTACCACCTCCTCTCGGAGCTTGATAAAACAACTCGAGCCTACTAAAAAGCTCAAACTCTACAAGAAAGCCTTAGGAAAGGTAGCTCTACAAAGTCTAATAAAGGCCATAGTTGGGTATCTTGTGCAGCAAGACTTGATGATAGGAAGATCTACTACACGGGCTTGTTTGGTCCTGGACTGGAGGACTAACCCTTTGGAATCATGTTTGTGACTTAGTACAAAGATAAAGCCGTCCACGTCTTTGTCATGCCGGTGCCTAGCCTTAGCCACCCCAATGACAATTGTCTGTATCTTCTCCCACTCAAAGGGAGAGAGTTCATTTACGTGGTGGAGGGAAAACCACTTGAATTGGTCCCCAGAGAGGCCTCCTCTGTAATGACCTAAGAAAGAAAATCTTGCTTCACTGTTGCCTCCTTCCCAAGCCTCTAAAAAGGCTCAGGGACCCCATTTGATTCAGCCAGCGCGGCAATGTCAACTTCACCTTTATTAGGAAACCCAACATTTGCCAACTCCAAAGAAGTGGAAGGAGCCTCCTTAGCAACCTCCTCCCATTTGGCAGCCTATAGCGGAGACAAACTGCCCAATTTAGCTATGTTTAAAGAGGGGAGAACCTCGGATGGAGCCATGTTTGTTCCCGCACATACGCCTTATCCCCAAGCTCACAAAAGGTCAGTGCTACCGAAATCTATGAGCCACACATAGCCTTGTGGTGACTCTTAACAATAGCCTTCTTCCTCCTCTTCTTCTTAGACCCCTTAGCTTGTGAAGTAGAGATTGATAAGCCCATACCAAGTTGGGTTGTGATCTCAGCATGATTCTTAAAAAGGTCCAAAACCTCCTCCTCTACCAACTCGTTACGAAGACACCTTTGGGGCCCTAAGAAAAGGACAGCACAAGGAGCCTGTTCCAAGTGCACTTCAACAGCAAGAAGATCTGTGCAAGTAAGATCCTCCTCTATCACCTTCATTAAAGAGATGCTGACAGGCTAGAGCAACGCATTGTAAAAAACGTTATCTCATTGGCGAGATCCCTTGCAAGCTTAGTTATTCTCTAAAGTTGCTTCTCTACCTCAGAGAGAAACTAGGTCTTCAAGCCCTCCTTCTTGATCTCTGGCCATGAAGAGCGGGCTAGGATCGAGTTGACACCAAAAAGGAATAAGAACATCTCATTCCATCATTTATTGGTCTCTGGGATGTTGAGACTAGCTATAAACAACTGGTTGACTAAAATAAAGGTGCTCCTCATCCTTGTCAACTTTGGTACACAATAGATGATCCAACATCCCTAGGGTCGGCTTGACCTCCACCCGGTGGCAGATGATGAGGAAGGCAGTCAAGAAACCCACAAAATTAGACTTCAATTAGATTGGAAATTTTCGGATGGCTTGCAAAACTCTTTAAGTAAGGGGTGTAGAGGTGTTCGCGGGAAAAGTTGGTGTTTTCTTCATTATCGATGTCATTGCACTCAGTTAACAACTTTATGTGTTACAAAGAGATCCGGTCTTTTTATAAGATCCGGCTTACAATGAAAATCAAAATAAAACAAAGAAATCAAAATTACAACTTCTCTCTTTTACCGAACAAATCACAAGATCCTGTTATTCGGTCTCTTGCTTCTGTGGGTTGTTTGCCTGCGCCGGGGTTGCTTACCGTGGACCACCGCGTGATCTGGATCCAAGCAGATCTACGACGTATTACGGGTATTATCCCACCAAGGAGATAATAGCCGGGAGGGATCGTTTCACCAAGGAAACGACCGCTCGAATCTCGGGATCTAAGAACCAAGCTTAGATCCGGAGTGTAACGACGTAGATCTGAGGATTAGACTCTCTCGAACTCCTGCCTTTTTCGGTGCGGGTGCTCGCTAAGAATCAAATCCAGGTCTCCAAGTCTTCAAGCCTTCAGATCTCCGAGTTGAGGTGACAATCCGGCAGAGTTTCGGCTCTCTCAAAAGTTTCAGAAGAAGTCCCTCAAATGAACAACCACCCCCCCTATTTATAGCCTCTCTGAACTGTGCCTTTGTGCACAAGAGAGAGAGGGGGGGGAGTCGGGCCACCTGAGGGTGGCTCGGCTCATGCCGAGCCACCCTGAGGTGGCTCGGCCTTGGCCGAGCCACCCTAGGGTGGCTCGGCCTTAGCCGAGCCACCCTGGGGTGGCTCGGCCACCGAGCCACCCTGGGGTGGCTCGGCTTGGGCCGAGCCACCCCGGGTTGGCTCGGTTTAGGCCGAGTCCCCGGGTGTGTTCTGTTTCGCCGTTTTCCGGTGTTTTCCGTCTTTCAGTTCTTCGTTTGATTCGTCCGGACTTTGATTTGATAGCCCGGGTCTTTATTTGGCAGTATTTCCGCCTCGGTGTTTGAGTACAAATCTATTTTGTCGTTGGACGACTCGTTGACTTTCCGAACTGTTGGATTGGTTCCACAGGCGAACATATGCCGTTGTTTGTGTGCTTTATCGCCTCGTCGCTCGAACATCCGTTGATTTGTCGAACCATCATGCTGAACCATGCTAAGGGACCTATAGGTAATTTTATACGCCTACAGATACCCCCTCCAAAGTGTTTCAGCCTCATTCTTTTATAGAAGAGTCTGGAATGCTTTGGATATGATTGCCCCTACCCTTTGTCAGTGTAACGGGACCTGGAATGACCTTCGTTCTGTATTCCTTCAATCCCTCAGGTCATTCAGTGCTTCGTAGAATGCCTGTATGGGTTCCGGTGCTGCATTTATTGTCTGACCGTTGTTGGAATTTGAACTTGAAGTCGATTCCTGATTTTCCAATCTTTAACTCGTGTTGGTTGGTTCGACGTGCAACTAACGCTCGATTGTCGGTGTTGAATCCTCACTTGTGACACGTTGTCCGACGTCGTGTTATTGAGTTATCCTTAAGAATATTTTTAGAAAAATATTCTCCAGGAACTTCTCAACAACAATAGGAAATAGTTTATACTCGTATACCTTATTGGAGTATTTCCGTGCTCAAAATAAGCTGAACCGGCTTGAAAATGAGCCAAAAAAGGCAGTAATTTGGCTCAAAAAATTTCTTCCGTTCCTTCCGAATGTGTGGGAGAGACAGGAATAAACCAAGGATGGGACCCTTAGTTGATTTGAAGTCGTCTCGACGCTTAATTCAGTCTCTTTTGAACTGATTTGGATTGGTCCGGTTCGGTTCAACTTGGCCCGGTCCGGTTCACCTTGGTCCACATTATAAAAGGGGGTCTCTTTTCCTCTTTTTCTCTCTTTTTCTTCTCCTCTCTAGGGCCGGCCCCCCCTCATCCCTATTTTTGATTTTTCTTTTCCCTCGAGCGTCCTTTCGCCATCCAAACATCGTAGTGGTCTTAGACCTGGTCTTCCTTTGGATCCTTGACTGAGAAATCCTTCAAAAAATCATTTTTTAGAATTCCTCTCAGACCCCTCGAGCACGTGGTGAAAGTTTCCTAAAAGGTCTCATCTTC